GGTCCGCGGGGCAAGCTCATTAGCGGCTTCTTCACTGACCCCTATAGCCCACACATCTGGGGGCAATAATTTGCGTGAGTGCATAGCATCCCTGGGAGGCTCCATCGACTATCTGGAGCTGTTGACAACTCTGCCATGCCGCAGCTCCTATCGTATGGAGTCCTTGTGCTACCTCCACATGTCGAATCGTTGGGGCGGCGTAAAAGGCACTATCCGGTATTGCTCCAAGGTCATTGACGGTATGTTTAGTGGGAGGGAAATCAGCATGTCGCGTGCAGTCCTTTCGTTGCAATGCCGTCCACTTCCACGCTCAAGATAAGCCACTGCTTTTCGTATGTGCAATCAGTTGTATGGATTGTGCCACGAAGAGGGAATTTTCCACGGCTTGCCATGCTTTGCAACCGATGACCTTTTAGCCGTAGTCATCTGACAACTGCATACTTTGCACTTGGCACTTCGCATAATGTCAAACTACGTTGAGTGCCAACCATCAAAATGGCTTGGATGACCTCATCCTTGCCAATGCAGTGTGGCCACCTTTGATTGGCCGATCAGTGCAAGTACCCACAACAAGAAGCATTTCGCCTTTCGTAGAGAATTCAGGCCCTTAGATATTTTGCAGCTCGTCTTTCTCACCTGTTTCACTTTCAGTGCAGAGGAAACACTGCCTACTTTGGTTGGGGGTCCGTGTTGGTGGTTTTTGTGTTTGTTTTGGTGTTGTTTTTGGGTTTTTGTTGGGTGTTTTGGTGCTGGTGGCCTTGTTTTGCTTCCCCCATCAATTTGCAGTGTTTCCTTTCCTTCTACGATGACCTGGGCACACCGCCCACATGGCGTCCGCACTCGTGGAAAAAAAGCATTGACGGGGACACGGACTGCTTTAGGGTAGCCTTGTCGGTTGTCATTTTGGAAGTGCCATATATTGTGCCCTACCTCGACACATGGTCGGACTACCACCTGGAATCGGCTGTGCTTCGTCAAGGTGTCTCGGATTGGATCTCGTAATGGCTGTTGGGTATCCAGCCGGACAAGGTCGACTTCGCAGCCAAAGACGTCAAGGTTGGTAACCGATGGCAGGAAGTTGACAACATCGTCCTCCAACTGCGCTAGGCATTCGTATTGCTAATGTCAAAGGGCATGCGGTATTCATGACCCGCAAGTGTGACAAGTGCAAGAGAGCCTGTTGTCTCTTCATCTGTCTGTTCAGATGTACGCAGCCCATGTGGCGGTTTATTCGTTGAGGCTGACTGTGACTGCTGTGAGAGGTGGAGTACGAAGAGGATGAGGAGCTGGCAGCTCCTTCGGGGGGAGGCAGCCCGCTTGGTTTGCGTGCTAGTTTCACCCTCTGTTCGCTCTTTTTTCCTAAGGCCAAAAGCAAAGGATGAGCAAATCTCCGACAAGCTCCGTATGCGCTAGCTCTGGGATTCTTTCTACATATTTGTTGACTTGTTTGTACGAGATGCACATCCGCGCCAGCGGCCACTCGCGTGGCAAACTGCTATACAGATGCATGGGTGGGAGAGCCGTATCCTGCCCTGGTGCATCCTGCGCAGCAGTTTGGAAGTTGTACATAGCTTGCATTGCTGCTTGCTCAGGTGCCAGTGCAAGGTCAGTGAGCACCGAGCCTGCCTGTTCGACCTCCTTGCTCGGGGAGCACTCATCGCCTACATCGATCTCCGTGGTCTCTTCCCGCCCACATATCAGAAACAACGATCCTAGAGATTAGAGAGTTCACGTTTGCCAACTGTGTTTTACTCCAGCGAATAATGCTCCCGAAAGCACTTCACACCATTCACGCAAAAACTTTCATGAACTGTGCCACGTTACAAGAGGTAGCAACACCACCATCACTACACTACATTGCTTGCAAAGCCTTTTTGGATTGCACAGTTCTGCAGCTCACGCGAATGCCAGGCAAGAGAACTACATGGAGAGGGACCTATGCCGAAGAGACGGCTTTTGCGCTTTCACCTCTTACCCGATCTGGGATATGATTCGGACTTGGCCTGAGTCTAAAAAGCTACACCGTAGACACTGTTATGGTAGACGAGCAGAACACTAAGGCAGTCTGACTGTTCCTTCCAACACGCACAGAGGAGAAAGGAGCTAGTCTTGCATTGTCACCGCTCAGAGACCAGTAGGTGCCCATGTCTGAACACTACATCCAGTGAGCTGGCATCAGGCGAGAACCTTAGTTCTCGACCTGAGTCAGTGCGCATCGGTAGGACGTACAGCTGGTTTGAACCCAGGTGAGATCGAAGCTTAGTTCTTGTGCTGGGCGTGGGTCCGTACCCTGCCAACCTTGTACAAAGTGAACAGACTGCATCATACTAGCCTCCCCGAGTTTCACCATGTTTCACCAGGGCCCTGCATGATGGCGGCGAGTCCGCAGAAGAGTCGAATCGCTATCCGGCCAGGATGGCACTCAGCACACTTGCCGTTGCTCCTGTAGGCTTAGCTGTTATGGAGCCTGCTCGTGATGTGCTGCTCTGGCTCCCTCTTTCAAGAGGGAGCTCACTGGACAATGGCTGGGACTTCAATCTCATCAGCCATCAACGACAACTTCTTCAACGTCTTGATGAAGAAGAACCTGATGAGGTACTGTTGGCTCCAGAATGCCGCCTATGGTCAAGAATGCAGACCCCAGCCTGTCGCACTCCTGCTCAACAAGAAGCTCTCAAAGCCCGACGTGAACATCACCATCGTCGCATCTTTGCTTTGCCAAGCGCATCTACTGGAACCATCGCCCGTGGCAGCAGAAACAGCACCTCCGATCATCGAGATGCAAGAAGGTATGAACCTACATCACCTGCTCACTCGAGCTTTGCGCCCACATCACCCAGGGCACCGCCTTCACCAATGACAGAAGCTAACATGCTGCTTCCAATGGCCCCGGCCCCAATCGCTGCACCAGGTCCACCAGCCACTTCCAGGTCACAAGCGCCCACTGATTTCTCCACCCGCACACATTCCAAACCCGCCAGAAAAAGGTTCTTTCAGGAGCATCGTTGTTGTCTCGTCCTCTTTCTCATTCTCCAAGCTGGAAGCAATGGCCTCCAACCCAACAGCAAAAGAAAGAAAAGAAAAAAATTGAGGAACACTCCCATACGACAGTTCAAGAACATGTGTGGACATGAATGTTCGCAGGGTGTGGAGCGGCGCTGCAAAACCATGGAACACCCAGCGGTTGCAAAACCTTTGTCGCGTGCCCGCGGAAACAATCGAAACTTGCACTATTTTTCGCCCGGCGGGATGACAAAAACGGTCCCCGTTTTGGGGCCAGAAACGGACCCCACAGGGGGGCCAAGCCGCCCGGACGCAAGCAAATCAAGTTGAGACTAAGTGAATGACATCCATTTTGGCGTCTCTGGGCCCCCAAAACGGGGGCCGTTTGGGGGCAAAATTTTTGTCACCGGGCAAAAAAACACAAGTTTCGATTGTTTCTGCAGGCACGCGACAAAAGTTTTCCATACTGCTTGGTTTCCATGTTTTGCAGCGCCGCGAGCATGTTCTCCACCCTGCGAACACTTGTGTCCACACATGTTTTTGAATTGTTGGAGCAAAGGGCATCGCTACTGGGAGCAAGGACGCTACTGGGGGCTTCTGGCATTGCTACTAGGAGCAACGTTACTAGGAGAAAAAGGGCATCGCTGTTGAAGGTCCCTGTAGGCCACCTCTTGTGCGGCGCTCTGGCAAGACGCTCTTATGACACCCTTGTGCGCTTGACAGTCTTGTAGGACACAAAGTCTGGAGCTTCCAGAAGTTGCTCCTTGTGCTATCAGGTTGGAGGCCATCGCTGTTGGGTTGGAGGCTGCCACGACCTCCACGAATCGGGCACTTCATCCATCAAAGACCTCTCGCCTTCATTTTGTGCTCTCGACGCACACGATCTCCGCAGAGGGTTGCGTTTCGTGGTGCTCCGGCGGCACCGCCCCCCGCCTTAAGAGAGAAAGTAAAGAAGAGCGAGAGGTGAAGATGTGAGATGTAGATGTGAGGATGTGAAGATGAGCAGAGATGTAGATGTGCAGATGTGAATGTAGATGTGAAGATGAGCAGAGATATAGGTGAGAATGTTGATGTGCAGAGGTGAAGAGCAGAGATGTAGATGTGCAGATGTGAATTTGGTTCTGCCGATGTTTTTACGAAGAACCCTTCGCAGACGCCCTCGGGAAAAAAATCTGACATATCCACATGTTCTAAAGCAGAGGCCATTTTGTTTTTGAGTCGCTTTTGGTTCAACATTTTGGTTTTGCTCCCACAGAGCGTGCAGGCCCAAACCATTCTAGCGATTCTACCCACTGAATTGGATGATTGTTTTTTCCTTGAGCTGTCACAATTGTCGTTTGTGTTAAATGAGTGTGCAGTCGTCCCATGATCGCAAATTTGTCCAAATGTAGTAACTGGCCCTTTTTTTTGTCCGAAATCTTCGGGAAGCGGTTTGAAGGTCAGTTTCTTTGGCCATGACATCATTGAATTGCCGCAGCCATGTATTTTCTGATTCAGTCGCATTGACAATAATCTCAACGGGAGGAGTTGTATAATTTGAAACGAGTTCCGGTACCAGAATCTCACGTAGTTGTTTCATTCAAATTGTGTCATGGCATGAATGGTCCTGACTGTAGCACTTTGTGTTGTGTTGTGACCGTGGATTTCATGTGCCGAGGGCCAGAGGCCGGTTGCGTTGTGCTGTACTGTGCAAATTACAGCCTTCCGTTTTTCTGAGGCCACTGGCCACTCGAATGGCCGAAGACATGAAAGATCAGGCCTTTAAGTGTTGTTTGGCTGTGCTTGAGATTCTGCATTGTGGAAGTCAGTTCCAGAGTGATGCGCAATTTGGCGTTCAGGCTGAAATAAGTAGATGTTTTTTTGCACCAAACTTCAGTGCCGACAGCTGTTTTGAACCTACTCCCTTCCAATACTGTTCATGCGGACGCTTTTAGTGGCAAGTTGTTGCACATTCAACATGTATTGACAAACCAGGTATGTGCCTCCACGTGTAGGCG